TATATACATAGGTCAGCATTCTTGCTCGTAGTAGATTTCGTTTGCAGCTTACGTACAACCGTGGAAGGAGGGAGGAGACCAAAATGTCATATTTGTGACTGGACTGTGTGAAGCGTAAGCAAACACTCTGAGCCCCAGTACGATTTCAGCTGATACTGCAGAATTGCAGCTAGGATTGAGACATCCTAAACACTATGAATTGTGAAAAGTATTCAGAAGCCTTTTAGGTTGACGTGGATATTTAGTTATTTGGTATAGCCTTTCCCTTCAGGTTCCTGGACGCAAAATGAGGCCTAGAGTGCGCTGTAATGGGCATTCTTATGGCGTTGTCAGGAATGACGGCATATTTGCGCTAGGAAGCCTAACTTCCCTTTAATTAACTTTTGATAATTTAACAGATCAACTTATGTTTATGACTTGAGCACAATCTGTACACATGAGATAACGCACATGCTGCTTGTACTGGGCCAAAAGACAGGGAGCGCCCTAAACCGAGCACGTCCCGCAGCCATGCGTACGTTCTAGCTGAGTAGGCATCTACGCGGACTATCTGCCGGCCGGTCTATCTGGATTCATTTCCAACATCATGTCGACTTTTGGAAGCAGATTTCGTTTGCCACGTCTGCAGTTATGCCGTCCACAACAGATGTATGTCCCGTATTCTTGGTCTCTTTTAGTTATACTTTAAGAATGACAATAGCATATAACTTGCAAAACTGAAACAAAAGCTCAACTGTTAAGCGCGCCTTGTCAAAATAAACTAAATTTAGGGATGCGCATCTCATTCGATTTGAGACTGAAGCCTAGAGTGAACCGTATACCGTTAACTATCCGGCAATCCCTGAGGCACACCGCCCCGAAGATAACTGTATAGAGACAAATGTAAGACACAAGCTCGTCAACACACTCTTTGGCTCGTCACAAAGCCCCCACATTTCACAAGACCACGCATAATCACGACTCCAGAACCTCACGACAACAAAGCGAGATCCATCTGGCGCTTCTCCCGATCCGGCGAACGCGCAGTATATAAGCTTCGCAGGCTGGCACGTGGGCGAGTCTGCGCTGCCAGCGCCAGCCCTGACGCCGGACGGGATTGGCCGTCATTTCCGTCGCGGCCGTGAGCAGGGTGGCTCAGCGCGCGCGAGCGGGGCTGGCGTCGGCGCCGGTGGCGGTGACCCGGCGCCGGCCGGGCCGGCCAGGCGCGCCGCTGAGCCAGCAGTCGACCCCAGGGGAGGCCTTTGTCGCCGCCAGAAACGCTGCCCCGGCGGTAAGGACGCCGCCCCAACACACAAAGGGTGTCTGAGGGCGGAGGGAAGCCGCCGGGATGGCCGGCCGGAAGGCGCGCTCGAGGAGGTCCCGGCCGCCCGCCGAAGCTGCTGCATGGCCACCTCCGCCTGCGAGGAGATGACGTCACCCTGGAGCGAGCGACGCGGCTGCGCGAGAGTCTGCGCTTCACATTGGCTGAGGCCAGTATTTAAGGTCCACTGTCGTATGCCTAGCACAAACATGCGAATCGTCTACAACAGTCATGTGCCTGGATCCTGAGAGGGGATCCAGGATCCCGTAGGATCCCCTGCTGACACGCGCCCGGTGGCCGGTTGAATCTGACGCACTGGGGTGTAGGGTGGGGGGGGGGGGGGGGAGCGTAAACTTGAGCCCCAGTAAAATCTAAAGGGGTCTCAAAATCTACTGAGGATCAAATATCAAATCAACTCAAAGCCAAGAGAGCTGGAGACACCAAATTCACAGGGTGGTGAGGCTCTATGGGAAATCACTTGTGTTGAATTATGGGTTTCCTGGACAGCGTACCTCTGTACTACCTCTGGCGAAATAGGTCAAACTATGGCGAGCTCCAGATCAGTGTCTGAAGTGCCTTCATACATCCTCACGCACCAGCTTTAACGTACATACCTCTAATAAGAAAAGTTCACCGGTGTTGATATCAGGTCAATGACCTAACATAATACATATATATATATATATATATATATATATATATATATATATATATATATAGGAAAGGTCAGTCCAGTGACCTCTGGGGAGTACAAATGACAAAAGACGATATCATTTGGATCTCAAAAGCTAGAGTCAGCGCCAAGTACTCTAGGTGCGTATTCGTCATCACTTAGGAATGACCGGTATAATTTGAGGGTCAATGGCTGTTCTACATAGTACCAGCGACAATGTCTGCTGTCGCATCACATTGAGCGGTTCCCTAGGGACTTGATTCACTGACAGATATAGCCTGACATTGACCTGGTATAGGTCAAATACATTGCAGGGCAGATCTAATCCTGTACCGCACGCACGGCTATTCCGATACCTACGGCGCTATAGCGTTTGGAGAGGCTACGCCAAGCCGTTCAGGAAGCTATTCAGGATAACGACTTTGAGGAAAAGTGTAGATGTGACCCCACTCGAGCACGAGTTAACGGAATCCTGGGATGCCATACTGGAATCTCTTTGGGACTCCTGGCACATTTTCGATCTCTAGTAGCCAAGCCAAAAAAGGCCTAGGGATAATCGCTCTCAATCATTGTGCTTTTTGGCTATACCAGCGCGATGAATGCCTCGGACATGTTGATAGATAACCCGGCGGTGGACCAATCCAGGACGCGAGTCTGTGAGACGTTGTACGGTTTAATATAGGACTGCTTATTCCGACTATTGCCTATGCCACTCTACCATATATATATATATATAATATATATAGATATATATATATATATATATATATACATCCAGAGTGTAAATATGGGAATATGGGTGAAGCTTCGCATGCAGTTGAATGAACCCTGCCTCCTTCCCTCCTAGGACAAATCCAGAACCCCCGTCTGGAGGGGGGGGGGGGGGGGGGGGGGGAAGTGGCAGGACCACCTTGGGGGTGAATGCAAAAGGTATTCCGGAGTTTTACAAAATAAACATGTTACCAGGTTTTCCTATCTTTTATCTGCAGAAGTGTTCTAAAACACACGTGTTTCAATAAACGGTGCTTAGATTTTTTCTTTAGGCTAAATATTTTTAATTTGTCTACGCTGGCCACCTTGGGAGAAGGGGGACATGGAACGGTTGCTCCCTTTGGATCCACCCCTGCCCTGCTCCCGATATTTGTCTCCGCCTCTCGCTATTTTACCTAAGTGATACAAAATCCAGAACCTATACAAATAGTAATGATCTCTACGTTTTGCGAATGTACGACCTCCCGTCCGACCGAAGCTCCGCCTGCGGGCGAGGCTGGCTCCTGAGGCCACAGGCGGCCTTCGTCGATTACCCGAGAAATCCTCCGTTGATAACAACCTGTCGCTGATGACCAGCCGCCGACGGCAGTCTTAGCTCTTCCCATTGGAGCTGAGGAGAGCTCGCAGCACTGTCACTGTAGCCTAAAGCTCATTTAGATTGCTGTCGTTGATAACTTCAACAGTCGATGGCGGTGGACATGCTGCCCTGAGAGCCGAAGCCCGGTTCAAGGGCAAACCCGAGCGAAGTTGGATCGTGATAGAGGGCCAGTTCGTGGCATGAACTGCCGTTCAACACCCGGTGGTAAGAAGCTAACACCACTGGTAGTTTGTCCAGCGAGCTGTTCTATTCTCGGGATGTTTTCGAGGACCGGTATACGGTGGTCAGACACCGAGTGGAGAACCGAACTGGTCCTTGGTCGGTTACTAGACCTGACAGACTGGAGCGGACCGAGAAATGGCTTGCTGGAACCACTTCGCACAGGGCGGCCGATAGTCTAAATGACCTAATGGACCACTGAACGCGCACAGAGTAGATTGAATGGTCTCCGTGGTACGTGGGTTACACATTTAGAGTGTCTTCCGTCAGGTTTTACGTACGAACACGCTGTGGCTTCGCTCTTCAGAGGAACTTTGAAAGGTTTACGGAGTTGCGCCATGTTTGTAGTAGACCAAGGAACAGCTCAAAGGACCACGAAAACCAAATGGGGGCTGAAACCGGGAAAATCGATTTCATCAAACCTTGCTAAGTGAGGCCATTGGCGTTTCCAGTTCGTCGCTTCCACGAGCTTCAGGCGACACTCTATAGCTTTCATCGCGCCGGGCCGACCGGCGGCTCCGACAGCGCAGACGTGTCGCGCAGCTGGCCGGCGTCAGGGGTATGACGACACGGCACACCAGGGCCTCGTTAGGTCAGAGCTCTCGATCCGTCCCGCTCGCGGCCCGGATACAACCACTGATCAGGCGTCGGATCAAATCACGCCCCCCCCCCCCCTCCCCGCCCTTTGCGTCGGCTCGGCCCAGAGGAGTTACCGCCGTCGCCGGCCGGGGTCGGCTCGCGACGGCGCCCTTCCCGCCGCGCCGGGCGGCCTCTCGGCGCGTCTTCCCCGCCGTCGCCGCTCCTCCGAGCGGGATGAGTCGCAATCGATGCGGCGCGGCCGGCCGGCAGAGTGTGCCGGCCCGCCTGCGCTCAGTGTCGCCGGTCGCCTTTTGAGCAGGAGACACGGGATCCAGCGGCTCGAACGAGCTGTCGCTACGGGGGACACCCGGTGTAGGCCGCTCCAGGGTCGTGCCGCCGGCCATGCCGAGGGTGGGGACTCGGATGTGGGAGAACGTGGCACATACGGTGAGGTTAAGACCGCTGGCAGTGGTGGTTTAGAAACTGGCTTCCAAAGTCGACGTCCGCGGGACTGAACAGTACTTTACAACTGAGTCGGCTGAATATGGTGATGACTGCAGGGTGGCGTCAGAGGCCGTCGATTTGAGAAATAGCCCCGGATGTCGTTGAGCACCGTCGCACGGCTTAGTACGTCAGCACGGCTCAGTACGTCAGGTCTCGGCACGGTCGCACGGCTCAGTGCGTCAGGTCTCGGCACGGCCGCACGGCTCAGTACGTCAGGTCTCGACACTGTCGCACGGCTCAGTACGTCAGGTCTCGGCGTGGGTGTGCGTTCAGCAGGATCTACAGGCAACGTCAATATATGTAATGAGCTGGGGCCCCGAACGGCGTCGGGAGGCGCATTGAGCAGGGATCCGAACGGTGCCGGAGTTCAAATTAAGCAGGCACTACAAAGAGTGTTGGCGATCGTATTGATCACGAGCTCAGAATGGGGCCTGTGGACGTGTAAGGGCAGAAGCTGGAGATAATGTCTGTATTCGTGTGCAACGGAGCTGCAGTTCTTGAAGGACGTGGTGCAGTGTGGTATTGCGTGGTGGCAGTTCTAGACACACTCTTTTCTGTCTTCACAAAAATACAGCATACGCCCTCTTGAAATGGAAGCACGCTTTGAACAAACATGAAAGCAAACCCGTGTTTGAATATGCAGTTAGAATGCATAAGATATGGCGGGGGTCCATAGCGGGATCCATAATGCGCAAATGTGATCGTCTTTTGGACCACCCAGCGGCCTTCGCAGAGCATGTGTTCTGTGTTATCACGCCCAGCACAGGCTGGCGTGGAAAACAAAGAGCCACAAATATGAAAGGCGCTCAGTAAAACAGGCAATATACGGAGGCAATATGTGGGCTCCACACGCCGTGGGCCATCACAGACGTCGTCGTCTCGGCCGCCTTCCCGCAAACGACGTCCTACCGCCCGCCTTCGTCCTCGCCGCGAATCTGGCAACCAGCTGGCGGCGACACGGCCTGCGCTGATCCAGCCGGGCAACCCAGGTGACCGGAGCAATTTGATCGTGTCGCGGCCGGCCGCCTGTGCGGCTGAGCGATGGCAGTGGCCGCCGTCTAATGGCCGGGCTCGCTCATCACGCGACCGAGGGCCGTCCGCCCGGCCGACGCGGTCCGGCCACCGCCGTCGCCGCCGCCGCCGCCGCGGCGGAGACCGACCACAAGTTCCTGAACTTGTGGCTCCCTGGCTCCCCCGCAGGGGGCGGTCGTCATGTGGCGGAGCGTAGGGAGAGTCACACGACAGTTGGGGGGGGGGGGGGGACCGGGACCCGTTCAATATTCACCGCGGAACGGTGGGTGTACGTGGAGCCGACCCCACCAGACACTCGTGGCCGACAGCGGGCCTATCAGGCGGCTAGCGCTCCGCTGAGGCGGCGAAGAGGCAGGATCCAGCCTCCGTCGTGGTCGACCAGGCTCACTCACGCCCATCGCAGCGGAAAACTCGCGCGATTTAAGCTATGTTTCAGGGGGTAGGGGATGGGGGGATGGGCACACTGCCACTGGTGGCTGCCACGGTGCCGTTGGTCGGAGCGTGTCGGCGTGTACTTACCTCCGCCAGCTGAGACAACCCATCACCGTTTGCGGAGATGCTGACCGCACCATCCGCGGGCCATTATTTGTTAACATACTCCAGTAACGGCAGCGGATAACTCTTGGTCATTAAAAAGGTGATGCAATGATTGATAATGGTATATGAGATGTGCAAGTTTTCCTTTGTCGGTGTGATGGGTACCGGCCACTGGCAGACGTAACCGGTGTAAGTAGTCCGTGTGCCAGCGGTGGACGTTTTGCGCCTGCTGCAGGGGTATATATAGGGTGCGATATCACCATCTGTATCCAGCAACAGGCAAAGGTTCGTCGCCACCCTTGGCGCAGTGCTTTGAGCAAGCTTGTGTGTATCCAGAGCGTACGAGTCGTGATCACTTGAAAAAGTGTTGAACATATCCCTTGTAGCAACCATCACTGGCGTCGGTTGCATATATAAGCCTTGCGTGGGCGTCGTGCAAACTCCAGGCTACGGGCAGGGGTGCGGACTTACCCCCTGAGTGAGCGGCGGTCGACTCTCGGCCACGGGCAGGGACGCGGACTTACCACCTGCGTAAGCGTCGTACAACTACAGGCCACGGGCAGGAGCGCGGACTTACCCCCTGAGTGAGCGGCGGACGACTTTCGGCCATGGGCAGGGGTGTGGACTTACCCCCTGAGTGAGCGGCGGACGACTCTCGGCCACGGGCAGGGGTGCGGGCGTCGGCTGCCCGGGCGGAGCCAGCAGGCCGGCGCCTGGAACCCGAGCGGTATCAGCGGGGCTGATACGCCCGTCGATGAGATTACACGGAGAGCCCGGCGAAAAATGCGCCAGCTGGCCGATACTCACAATATGTACCAGCTGTCGGGAGGGGGCAGCCCCACGGCGACGTGGTCTAGCGTGGCTGAACACGCAGAGGACGTGGAGGAAGACGGCTTATTGTATTCTGATCTCGTGCCAGCCATTGAACAGTTCTGCTAGCTCGATTAGTTTGTGAATCGGCGTTTTTTTCCGGTCGTTCTTCAAAGTGCAGCGATACGTGTGCTGGAGGGATGGCCAGACTGAAACTGCACGCCCGTGAACCAGCGAAGAGCATGCATCTAATTGTATTGATCCCTGTTGCATTGGTAAGCTTGTCACATGACGATCTCTGTAAATAATGGGACAAACGATCTCTGAAAATGACAGGACATGAGAACCCTGGAAATGACGTGACGCGACGATCTCCGCAAGCAACGGGACATGACGATCTCTGAAAATGACAGGACATGAGAACCCTCACAATGACGTGACGT